TCTGTTGCATCGAGTCTCTATCAGATTATCTATATATAAGTAACGTTTTTAAAAATATGATTATGTCTAATGGTGACTATTCATTAGAAACCGTTTACTTGAACCGAATCTTTAAAAATGGTTTTCATTATCCATTATATATATACATATATATTTAATATAAATACAATATGATCGCAACCACTAAAAACAAATTATCTTTAATTTTATAATTTTTTTTAAAATATAATAAAATACAATCTATATATGTATATTTTCTTTCTATATAATCTTAAATTTTGTTTTAATTCATATCGAGAAATCGTTTTTAAATAAAGGAATCCATGATAATATTAGTTTTTTTTTCATTTCAATATCCGAATATAAATTGGTTATTAACGTATCTAAAAATATAGATATACTGAATCCATTGATTAATCATGACTTAGGTATATTGGATATTATTACGCAAATAAATATCTAAACATTATACGAATTTACTAAGTCCCTACAAATATATTATTGGTTTCGATTTTAATGAACAATGATAAAGACTAAGCACAATTGGGTCCATATCGTAGAATATCTTTGCTATCACGATCATTAAAGTTTTTATGAGTTCTTGGAAAAAACAACTATAGTTATGACGACAGACAGTAAGTTTTTCCAGTGACAAATATCAAAGTATATATATGTTTCCTAATACGTTTACTTTAGGCAATTATTCTGATTCCTCTAATATGTTTACTTTAGGCAATTACTCTGAAGACACAGAAATCCTATAAAAAGGGCATACTCTGATATCGGACCTAACAATACGAATTAATAAAAAACACATATAGTACATATAATATAGTTTGATAATTCCTAAACAAAATTAATATATAAACAATAAGAAAGTATTAAATAATATCAGTGATCTTAGTTCTAAAAGTAAGCATAAAATTACTAAGTAGTGAGTTCGAGAATACACAAAAAAAATAGTGAAGATAGAGAGATAAAATATTAAATACAATAATTATTTAGAGGAGGTCTACAAATAACATCAAACAGTCGATGCTCTCGTCCATACTTGGCTCCGCCTACGAAAGTGATAAAAAATCATTACCAAAACGTTTTCATAAACATTGTAACAACAATATATAGAATCAAAAACTTTAAATACTCCCGTGGCTCTAAATGCATCAACTTCCTCATCGACAGAATTGTACGAAAAATCTGAGTAAAGATGATTAGATTGGAGAACCACAGACTTCTTACCGATACCTAAACAACAATAGACAAAGGTATTATTCAACATTCAGATTTTAAGATATATATGAAAAAAATATATATATATACTTTGGCCATTTGTCATCTTCCAGAACCTTAACACCCAGACAACCGATTCACATGTGTTTCTCTGATATACATCATATAGATTTATTGCTAAAGAACCATGGGCGTAGCATGTTAACCGGCCTTCTCTTCGGCCACAAGAAATACAATATGAAAAATGAAATATTTGGTAAACGCTTTATATGTTAACAATCCTTTACATATAAAACAATGGACATGATTCATAATACTGTGCATCTACTATCTCAAATCGGAGATAAGCGAGATTCTCTTCATAAGCATCATTACTTGCATTGCAGAGTGCACCCATCTTTACAATAAATCCCATAATGTCTAATAATAAACGAAATAATAAACTGAATTTAAATATAATATAAAATTTAACACATGTGATTAGAGATTAACATGCAAACCGATAAAATTGATTAGTTCTTATAAAAAGTTAAAAATACAATTTTTACCAATCAGATAGTCAAAAGGGATGGCTCGATCCACAATATCATAAAATCGGAAGCAGTGGAGATACAAATTGTACGACCTCGTTCGAATAGGGGTGATAATAGTGATAGAAGTTAACTCCAAACGATGTTTATTGATCGTTGTAAGCATTGATCCAATTGCTTCCTTAACGAAAAAACTGAAAATCTGGATCCACTGTCCCTGTTTGATTTCTCTCCAGTGAGTGGGAAACTCGTTTGGCATAACGGTTGCAGCGATTTGAGTACCCTAGAAAAATAACACAGCCGAAATAATCAGTGAATAATATATAGAAAACATACAAATAAACTTAAAAAAAGGACACATACTTTGATATCAGACAGAACCATCTCGATAGTATTTCCGAAGAATGTTGAATGCTTTCAGAGCCTAACCACCTTGTCAGATATTAGCCACCCTGTTTTGCAAGTATCCAAACATGCAACATCGACAACATCAGACATTTTAGAAACCTATTTTTTTTTTCGATCGAGAACTCTGAATGAGATTTCTAAAGAGGAAAACTAAAAGTGACGAAGGATGAGAAAGTGTGTTAAAGATGAAAATGACAAACAATGCAGTTGAATTGGCAGTTATCCTTTCTTCTAAAATTATTTTCAATTGAATTATCTAAAAAAAAACTTGAACAATTACCATTTAAAGCTACTTATTATCAAAACCAACAACAATCCCACTAATTTATGTGAAGACATTTCCATATTGATATTGACCGATTTGTTCGTTTCACGTGTCAGAGAGAATATATTCCATGTTTTAAGTAAATATATCATTTTACTAAATATATCATTTTGCTAAATTATAACACTTTCCATAAAAAATATGATCTCTCTCTGTAGCTTATGTTATTTAAACCATTTTATTTTTCAATATTTTAGGAAATAATATACTAATGAAAACTATAACAAAAAGGACATTTATGTAGACTTATATATTATAACTTTATGTATTTACTTGGACAATTTTCCTTGAAATTATATGAAATAGGAAACCTGAAAAGTCAAACGGTTAGGTGCAAACATAAAGTCGCATAATCTTCCCAATAAAGATTGAAAAATGAGAAAAATTATTATTATTACACACCTTATAAATACTCACTTGAGGTTTTCTATTTCAAAGAAGCTTGAAATATTTTATAAGTAGCTTTATCGTTTGTGAGAACATTCATAAGAACATGGTGAACACAGATGAAAAAAAAATCGATGAAAATGGCTTGCTAATCATCAATCCCCCACCATTGGTAATGAGATTCGGTGTGGTGGAACCTAAGTCACCATCTTCACCAACAGATTCCGAGATCGAGCAAGCAGAATTATGGGAACAATTACACCTCCTCACTACATCAAACCAGAAACCCAAACAGAATACTCCTCATGTAATATACCCTTTTAGTTAAAGGTTTTTTTTATTATGTCTTACCCAATGAATTATAAAATTTGCATATTCTATTTATGGAGGATGATAAAGACAACCCATATAATTAGACACCCCAAGCAAGCTGCTCAAAATGAAAACATGATCTGATTCTAGATCTGGAGATAGGGTTGAAGTGCATGCGTTGCGGTTTTTTGGAGACAGAAATCCGACACATGGATACAGCCGAATGGGTAAGTAATCAGAAATATCTTTAGATTAGTAATGAAAAACAGTCTAAAATCTATGTATGTGGCTTCTGGTGTTTTGTTATTGATTGCTCATTGAACTCTAAGTTTTAGAAACAATTCATGTTTACATATGATATTGAACTAATTTTAAAGTTATATAATTTTTAAAAAATTTAAATTAGATTTTTTATGTTCATGCTTGAAGGGAGAGATGAAGAAGAGTAAAAAGAGGAGGTCTGGAGTTTAATCAAGAACCATATCAAATCCCATGTTTTTTTTTCAATGATCAATTTAAAGACAGTATTACTTCGTTTAATTTCCTGAAAACTATTAAGTTTATTTCCATGACATTGATAATTTGGTCTTGGAGCATTTTCGATATTTATAACTATGCTACAATTTAAGTTTCGTTAAACTATATTCTCGAATTGACTTTATCATTAGAATATCCGACTACAGTTAAACGTCAGATATCAAACCACTAATAAAAGAAAACATCAAGAAAACTGTCAAATTGTACATGGTCGAGTCATATATATTTGAAGAATAAACGATTCAGATTGATAAACCCGAGTAATTATACTACTTTCAATTTATATACAATGTATGGATTCAATAAAAATAGGAGTCGATACCAATATCCATTAGTAGCATTCCTTTGGGGTAAACCAATCAAACATAATGTAATATATGGGCTTTATGAACCCATAAACGATAATAGCTAATCTAAACTTAGTATATGATATAAGAATTATTTCAGGTCCAACTTAATGAAGAATTGGAAAATGCCAAATCTATTAGTAAAATCTATAAAATCAGACATAATTAGAATGTAGTAAAAAGAAATAACATATTTTGAAAACCATAGAGAATAGATAAAATGAAAAAAAAAAATTATATCTTGTCAAAAACTTCCTTGTAGACAACATTCAATGTTTTGCTTTTCGGTTTGTTGTCTTTATCGGTGATCAAGATCTTCAAACCTTCTTTGGATGTAACCCTCGACACAGCAACATAGTTGCCCATGAGTAAATACCGGTCTTGGAAGATACAAACCAACCTTTTCGAGTGTTTGTCATTGACTTTTGTTTATAGTCATTGCAAATGCTAGTGTAATAGGAAACTGCTTGCGTTTCATCCTGAAAAGAAGTTTCATCTCCGAAGGAGAGAAGAATATTCTAGGAATGAGTACTTTGTCACCAACTTTGCTACCAGTTATTATCTGAGCCTCGAGAACATAATTAGCTGTCCGAGTTATGATGAGTCTTGTGCCATTACACAACCTATTCTTAGGGTCGATATTTCTTAGCAGCATTACAGAAATACATTCCCTCAACTTCAGGACATGATTAGGGAATCCAAACATTTTGATACTATTTAAAAACTCCTCGGTATAAATCATATTGTTAGACCCACCTATATTCTCACTGGCTACACTCTCCGATGGTATTTCAGATGCATCGTTATAATTGACAACTTGCTCAGCGGTATCAATGCTATCACAACTAAGATAGGTCATTTCAATACCTATAACATACATAACAATCGTTATATTATATAAATCTAAACAAATAAATTAAAAGGCTAATAAATCATAAACATATCAGACAATTTCGAAAGCATGTAGTCATTTATCGTCTCTACATCATCGTTTCTTGGACTCAGTATGGCACAGTCTTGAAAAAATTTAGGATCAGTTTTTGGAAAAACGATCCCATAAATTTCTTTGACAATCGTTTTTATAGGATCTTCACACTCTTTAATCAACAGATCATCGGGAATATCAATCTCGGATTCACCACTCCCATCATCATTTATCATTCTATCACCAATATCTAAGATCCACTTTGTAAAAGCAGCACGTTCAAGCATTGCACGGCTACTATCTCCAGCAATAAGTCGCATGTTCTGTGTAAGCCTCAACACTCTACATTTGTACCACAGATGTGACGAATTCAAAGTGGCCATAAGTATCTCTGTCTTCCCAGCATTTGGAATCACTGGCAATATTTGCCTGAAATCCCCTCCCAAAACAATGACCATGTCACCAAAAGGCTTATCAACTTCTAATATATCATGCATTGTTCTATCTAGAGTCTCGAAGCAGTCTTTACTCATCATCAACGCCTCATCCCATATAATGAGTTTAACCAGCCTTATCAGATCGGCAAGATTAGATTCCTTTTTGATTGCACAGAAGGTAAACTTATTAACCACAATAGATTCCTTTCGGCCTCCTTCTAATAGCAACGCAGCAATCCCGCTCGATGCAACGTTAAGAACAACATCACCTTTGGAACGAAGAGCAGATCCTAATAGACTTTACAAGTAAGTTTTACCAGTACCTCCAAAACCATAACAAATAACATACATCCCTTGTTCTTATTTACTGCTTCTAGGATCTCATCATAAACACTTCTCTGTTCGCTGGTTACAGTGGCTAACATCTGCTCGTTTCTAACTCTAAGAGTTTCACGATTGTAGTTCCTCTCATCCCGAATAAGAGGATTATCACGTGACTCCAGAGTAATATCTTCAGGAAATGGCATAGGTGTGAATTCTTTTAAAGATCTCCCACTTACACGTAAAAGAAGTTCTATTTCGACCAGAGAAAACTCTTTAACTTGCTCCTCAGATAGACTAACAGCTACAAAATTTCAAAAATTTATAAAATATAAATTAGTTACCAATATATTAAAGATATATAATAACAACAACGTAAATGATAACTATACGACTTACTTTGATCCCTAGCAGCCTTTTTGTAATTATATATGATGTCATCTGATAATACCTGCCATGTAGCATTCCAAACTCTAGAAGGAATGAATATACTATGAGTAGTGAGCATGATCACAAAAAGACGACGGAGATAATTGGCAGAAAGCCACAATCCGGCATCATTGATGGCCTCAATATATTTTTTGTCATCATTCAATACTCCATATGCATAGCAAGCTTCTTTGAACGAAGAATGTAGAACTTTGTTGACCGTTTTTATATCGTCAAAACTACATGGTCCTGTGACTAAATTAAGCAGAAGTCTTAAATAGTACTCTTCACCTGCTCCAATGGGTACGTATGTAATTCTACCAAGAGCAATTCTCCTTGGTCTATTCCATACAAATCTAGAAGGAAGTTGTGCATAAGTTAACGTCGTCGCAAATTCATACACCTTGTTGCACTCCATCCAAGCAATAAATTTGGACGTACCAACCGAGACACGATTAATAACCTCATCACCTGGATCATCCTCATTGTATATGACCATTTGCTGGTTCGGTAAATGAAAGGGTAGTTTAACTACAGAAACCGTGCGATGGTGAGTACGATTACCAAAAATTCTCCACGTAGATTCCGAAGGCGCTACATACCTATATAGAAAGACATTATTAAATAATGGAAGATTGAAATTTCAGAGGTATAAAAGATGTGAACAAAATGTTTAAAACATACCTACAATTGAAGTTTTTCTTAATCTTGTTTTCTTTATCATCATTCTTGATAGTTGCACGGATGTAATCAGCACCTTTATGAATATATTTGAACAGATACTTTACTGATCGAGATTGTACACACCATTTGACATTGATATGAACCCTATAAAGCAATGTGAGACTCCTATTATAAGGAACCACAAATCCATTATCACATTCAATACCCTTTTTAACAATAACTTTCTTATTATTACGTCGCCTTTATATAGGATATCCAACATCATCTATTTTAGTGATCGGACTGAATGCTTTTGGAAAATACTTTGTACATTTTCCTTCAGCCATACAAACAATGTCCTTATTCAAATCACCACATGGCCCATGCATCATGACATCTCCTACTATCTCATACAGCGCTGGATCAATATCCTTGTCAGGAATTTCAGCTCATATTATCTTATCAATGTCATCACCAGTTGGTAGCTTGTGACCAGCCTCTAAAAAAAGAACGATGTGTGCATGAGGAAGTCCCTGTTTTTGAAACTCAATCGTGTAGATCGCTGCAACGAATAATTTTTAGTTTTAAAAAAAATAGTTAGCATGATCATCTAGCAGTGGTATGGGCAACATCTTGCTAAACGTAATAAGATACTTAGTTTAATAAAACATACCGGCTTTTACGACATCTAGTACATTTTCTTTAGTGAGTCTGTGCATGAGATCATCTAGTTTCATATTGAACACCCGCGTACATATATCTGGCCTATCGTCTTGCTTCAAGTTATGTCTTTTTAGATGCTGGTAATCTCAGGCCATTTGGGATTACACGTAAAGGTTATGAAAAAATCCGGAAAACCAAAATGCTGGCAAGTAGTCATCGCATCTAGATAATGTTGAACCATATACCTTGTACCACCAGTATACGAAGAAGGTATAATAATACGCTTACCCTTCTCAGAGATATCAGTGTCACCTTCATCAACAGTTTTCTTTATTTTATCATAATTTTCGCAACAAAGTTTAGACTGATTCATTGAAATGAAACGCAGTCTATTTTGCAACATGATTCCTTCCATATACCACTACATTGATTACTTTCATAACTAAAGCGTAAACATCAGCGGAAGTTATCATAATGGTCTCTTTAATGTCTTTAAACAAAGACACATTCTGTTATTCTTAAATCATAATGTGTGCATACGTTAGAAACAGAACGAATGAAAAATGTTAAAATCATAAAGAGCTCACATAAATGTCAAATATAGGCTACAACATAAGCAGACAATCTAATTAAATGATATCCTCAAGACCCATACTTTCAGCATGCTTTATAAAGGTCTTTGGAGGTAAAAGTTTCGTAAATATGTCTGCAACCATAAGTTCAGTGCCTATGTGTTCAATGACAAACTTTTCTCTTTTAACATCTTGCTTTAGTGATAGATATTTAAGGTCCATATGCTTGGCACCTTTAGATATTCTATCATGTTTGGCGAAAAGATTGCAGCCTGATTGTCACAATAAAGAGTTAAGGGCTTGTCAACAAAACTTAAAGCCCTAAATTCAGAGACAAAGTTCCGCAACCATGATCCCTAAATAGAAGCCTCATAACATACAACATACTCAGCCTCCATGATGGATGTGTAAATCAATTGCGATTTCTGACTTTTCCATGAAATGGCACCTCCACAAAGAAGATACACATAGCCGAGAGTGCAATGCCTAGAATCTTGGCATCCGCCAAAATTTGAGTCTGAAAATCCAACCATCTGTGGATGTGTTGATTTTCTATATGTTAGCATGTAGTTTCTTGTTCTCTTTAGGTATCTTAAAACTTTCTTTGCAGCTTTCCAATGAGCGAGTCCTGGGTTACTCTGAAATCTACCCAACATTCCGACTGCATGGCTAATATCAGGTCTAGCACTGGGTTACTAAGCTTTAATCTCACCGTCCATCAAAAGTTAGTAGCAAAACATATTTAAAGAATAACAATCCCAAAAGAAAAAAACGTAACTAAAAGACCATATAAAAGGATCAGATTTTTATTCTTTACATATTACGTATCAGTTTCCAAGTCCAAAAGCTAGTTATTTAGATCTTTGAGTGTCCCCTTACAAATGAGGCATCAGATATCTTAGACACATCTTCAAGTCCATCATTTGGTTCAGAAACTGCCAGTAAACCACCTCCAACTTCTTTGAGAGGGGCCTTCGTTTTTGGAACTTCTAAAACTTCATTTTCAATCCCCATCAAACCAAGATCTTAGACACTTCAGCCCTGTTCGTTTGAGCAGTTGACTGATTCATCCAGATGATCCAGTCAGCTGATGTTCGTTAAAGGCATAAAATCACCTTCACTCGGATGAATCAGTCAACTGGATCAATTAACTTATGACCAAAATTTTAAACAGCTGGCTGAGCCGAATTGAACCAGCTAGATGAACCAGCTTCAGTCAAAAATTTAAAATGACTAAAATATCCTTCAAAAAAATTTAAAACTACATGAGACAACCTAAAACCTAAATCGATTATCATCCACTCTCTCTATTTCCTCCGCTGCTTCTTCCGTCGATCTCCACTTCTCCAGCGAGAAAACTCCCTTCTCCTGCGTATTCTCCGGCTGCAAAACATCTCCATTCGCCGGTGTCTTCTCCGGCTGCGAGACATTTCTTCGGCTGCTTCTTCCTTCGATCTATACTTCTCCGAAGAAGCTTTGATCTCTCTCCGACGATCTCGTTTTCTCTCTCAGCTGAGGTAATATCTTTCTGGGTTTTGTTTAGAATTCCAAGTTTTCTTCTCTAATCGATGCTTGCTGCTTGTTCTGCTCGCTTTTGAGAAAAGCTTTGATATGGGTTTTGATATGGTACAATGTTTTGATATTCTACGCATGCACCAGTCAACATTTAGGAGTTTGTGTAAGATGCTATCTGAGCAGTATAAGTTAGAGGAATTTTGCCATGTTTATATAGAAGAGAGTGTTGCAATGTTCATAGAAATGGTTGCACAAGATCTAACTGTACAGGCCTTAGCTGAGTGGTATCAACATTCACTAGACACAGTGAAAAGGAAGCTAGATGATGTTTTAAGTGCTTTTTTGAAACTCGCAGCAGATATAGTGAAACCCGCAAGGGATGAGTTTGCAAGTGCTGATCCTTTTCTAGTAGATGATGACCAGTATATGCCTTATTTTGAGGATTGCATTGGTGCTCTTGATGGCACACATGTGCCAGTCCGTCCTCCATCAGGGAATGTAGAGCCCTTTAGAGGTTAAAAATCAGAGCCAACTATGAATGTGCTTGCTATATGTAATTTCAGTATGAAATTCATATATGCTTATGTTGGAGTTCCCGAGAGAGCACATGACACAAATGTGCTAACACATTGTGCAGCACAAGAAGCTTCTTTTCCACATCCTCCACCTGGAAAGTATTACTTAGTTGATTCAGGTTATCCCACTAGAACCGGCTATCTAGGTCAACAGAGGAGGACCACCTACAAACGGTAGAGAGCTGTTCAACCGCAAGCATTCGGGTTTGAGATCGAAGATTGAGTGCACATTTGGTGTATGGAAAGCTAAATGGCGGATTCTGGACAGGAAACATCCTAAGTATGAGCTTAAGAAATGGATAAAGATTGTGACAGCAACAATGGCTCTTCACAACTTTATCAGAGATTCAAGAGAAGAGGATAGAGACTTTGAATATTGGGAAAATGTGGAGTCATATGAACAGCATGGTGATGAAATTGTTGGACATGCTCCATACTTACCATCAGGTGATAGAGTTATGGAGGCAAAAAGTGATGCCATTAACCTTAGAGATGGCAAAAAGAACTAGACTTCCATATTGACAGGTATGTGATCTTTGTCTTTCTTTTGTCTTTTATTTGAATTCTCCTTTTATTCTAATAGAAAAAAATTTGTTGTCTTTATTTGTAGGATCTGGTGAAGAGAAGGGAGAGTTGGTGGTTTAAGGATTATGCATTTCTAAAAAAACTTTGTTTTGTACCTTTATAAGTATAATATGATATGTTTCGTATGATGAAATTATAATTTATGAAGAAGATATTGTAGTTTGCTTTACCAATGAGAAAATATTTGTTTAAATGTTTTTATTGGGTATTAATAATTCACTAAATTAATTTTTTTTTAATGAATTGTTATAATTTTTTTTTATATTATTTTCTTAAAAAGAAAAATTTTGAAATGTTAAAAATAATTATCTAAAAATTATTTAGTTGTAAAACATTATTTTTATTAAGAATTAGTGATAATATAGTTAATATTAGACTGAAGATATGGTTAGATGAAAATATGGGTATTTTAGTCATTTTTTTATTTAGATGGAGATGTGGAATGATCAAACAAACAAAACTTCATTCAGATGGATCAGTCAAATGAATCAGTTAAATGAGTCATGAAATTTTATTAATAAAACGAACATAATCTGGATGGATCAACCAGATGAATAATTCAGACTGAGAATACCAACTGGTCAAAGGAACAGGGCTTTCCTCGGGAGCAAAATATGCAGGCTGCTTTTATAATTGAACTGATTGCTTTGCTAACACACCATTATTACTAGCAGAAACAATCGTCTGGTCATCAAATTGGAGAATGTCAATCAAAACAAAGTAGCCCTCGGGTTCTTGGGGAGCAAGAAAGAAAACTTGGGTGAAGTTCTTCATCATTTCAAGTGTCTCTTTTTGAGTGGAGTAGCCACAGACAACAACCAAGACAACACCATCTTGACAGTCTCGGGAAATGATACTGGTTACCTCCACCGAACCAGAACCTCCATTAAGATTCTCATCATCTATATTCTGCTCCAAGAATAGGAATCAATCAGCAAAAAGAGAGATTTTCACCAAATAGGATTTGAGTCAATCAAGGGAAAAAAGGTATGATTTTTACCGATAAGGTGTTTAAACGCATTACATCGTTTCTAGTCCGTCCAATCTTACTAGAATCTTGATAAAACGCACGGAGATGCTGCGGATAATATTCCAAGACGGTATAGTAATCTTTTGCAAATTCATCCCCAACCTACGTTTTTTGTTTCGTAAATGACTAAGAGGAAAATGAAGAAAACCTAATTGGATCATACAGTTGTTGAATTACATACCTCTTCAGCAGGTAATCGTGCAGGAGGATCCATCGGTTCAGAGATTGAGCAATTTCCCTACCCTTTTAACCTAAAGATCAGATTCCAAACGCGAAATTCATGAATCTGACGAACAATAATCTAGTCGCACACAAAAAGAATCCTACCCATTTCGCGAGAAGCAGCTACTTATTGAGAAAATCGACAAAGAATGCAAAGATTGCCTTGGCGTTTCAGTCAATACCCATAATCATTCACGAAGACGCACATCGAAACACTACTGATTCTAATTCTCGAAGATTTAATCGAAATTGTGAAAAAGACGACGCACCTGAAACTCTAGCGAGAGGTAAGTTTGTTTATGGTTAGTGATTTTAGGCGCGATTGAGTATGAATATCTCCAGATTTCTGCTAGAGCCACTCCAATGGCGATTCCGAGCGAGAGAAGAAGAAGAAGAAGCAACGAAAAGAGACTGATTACTTTTTTTCTTTTTTATACACGCACTCTTATTTATGCAGTTTCATAAGTATGCATATATTTACATTTGTTGCCATTGCGTTCTCTCATAATTGGTTATCGTACTGTGCTTAACCGAATTGGTTGGTTGTTGGTTTAGTGTTTGGTTAAGATTCGAGGAAGAAGGTGTTTCTGGATTCGCTGCTCGAACCAAAGAAAAAAATACCCGCTTCTCTTTTTTTTTTTCTTTTTTTTTTCCAGGTTTCGTTTTTCTTTATTCTACTCTGTCCTCACTGTCTACGCATACGCATTTGTCCGCAGCGCACAACTTAGTCTTTTTCTTTATTTCTAATTTCTGCAAACAATTGGGATAATGTCTTTTGACTAAGTCCAGTCCTTAACGTTTCAGTTCCTGCAAATAAGTCTGAGGACTTCTCCACTTACGGAAAGTGGTTGTTATTTGTTTCCATCTTTGTAGGAACTATGGTTCCAACCTTTTCTATTTAAGTAATGAAAAACCAAAAAAAGAGGTAGTCATAACTACCCAAAAGAAATCTCTTGTGTCTAAGTTTCTATACTTGTTCTGTACTCAAAAGCTTTGATCGGGTTCTTAGCTTATCATACTCTGTCCTCACTCCTCATTGTGTAGTTGTTTTTCGTCGAAAAAAAAACTTTTCTTCTTGATTGTAACTAGATCATGGACTTGTGTTGTGCACGAATTCATTGTTATCTTTGAAAGTTGTAGCGTAGTGAGATCACACGATTGACGATTCCGTATGGTCTTCTCAATTACTCGAATGGGAGTTTCTCGGGTAACACAGCTTCAAGTTCTTGAATTGCTCAAAGTAGTAGTTAGCTATGGAAGCGATGAGATATTCAATTTTGTTTTATAAAACTTTGAAGAAAAGATGGGATACACTGAACAAGATCTTTTCAATGTCAACGCGTTTCTCGTTGCAGACAATCAAACCTGAGTACTGCAACTGTTTCAAGAAAGTCAGAGACTTTGCCTCTTGTAAGTTTCATCTTCTAGTGCAAGAAAGCTGATACTTTATGTCTGTTTTTTGAAATGTATAACTTGTTTGATTTTCATTTTGAAAGCTTATGCGTGGGTGAAGTGTGAGAGAGAGTACTGTATATAAGATACAACTGCTATGAGATTTTCAGAGCGGCAAAGATAACAGGACACCATGGTATAATGTTTGGATCAGAGGAAAAGCTTGTGCGGCTGAGTCTCATCAGATCACTAGACAACTTTTGATCAACTTATTGATATATATGTTGAAGAAGTTAGCCTCTCGAGGAGTTGATTCCATCTGAAAACTTGATGTTGAGATCAGATTTCTTTCTTTGCAATTGCTCTTTTTTTTTTTTTTTTTTTTTTTTTTTTTTTTTTTTATCTGTTTGATCAATAGCCAGTTTCATAGAGTCCAATACTCAAAAAAAACACAAAGTAAAAGCTTCACAAAAGATCCAATTCATTGTATTCCAAATATATCAAATCACTTTTACCACTACATGAACCAAAAACCTCTCCTACTGTTTTTAGTCTAATCAGTTGTTAAGATTCTATCACTACACACCCATATATGCATGTAAATCCCCTCCTCTATCTACATTACTAGACACGTCCAGTTGTGATTCTCTTCTTCTTCCTGAAACTTCATCATTTCCTCCTGAAGCTTCATCTTTTCTTCCTGAATCCTTTTCTCATGAAGCTTTATCTTTTCCTCCTGAAGCTTCAGCTTTATCTTTTCCTCCTGAAGCTTCATCTTTTCTTCCTGAAACTTCGTCTTTTCTTCCTGGAACTCCACCTTCTTCTCGTGAATCGTCATCTTTTCCTCCTGAAACTTCATCATTTCCTCCTGAAGCTTCATCTTTTCTTCCTGAATCCTTTTCTCTTGAAGCTTTATCTTTTCCTCCTGAAGCTTTATCTTTTCTTCCTGAATCCTTTCCTCTTGAAGCTTTATCTTTTCCTCCTGAAGCTTTGTCCTTTCCTCCTGAAGCTTTATCTTTTCTTCCTGAATCCTTTCCTCCTGAAGCTTTGTCCTTTCCTCCTGAAGCTTTATCTTTTCCTCCTGAAACTTCATCTTTTCTTCCTGAAGCTTCAACTTCATCCTTTCCTCCTGAAGCTTCATCTTTTCCTCCTGAAACTTCGTCTTTTCTTCCTGGAACTCCTCCTTCTTCTCGTGAATCGTCATCTTTTCCTCCCAAAGCTTCCTCTGTGTCTTCAGTACTTGCTCATGGTTCCGAGCATGATACACTCCTGTTCCTCTTTCTATCTCCTGAAGCTTACTTTGTTCCTCCTTTGACCTCTGCCAGTCCCAAAAGTCCTTAACTTTTGTCTCATAGTTCCACGAATGATCAACTCTTGTTCCTCTCTCTTCCTCCTGATGCTTACTTTGTTCCTCCTCAAGCTTCCTCTGCTCCTCCTGAAACTTTCTATACTCCTCCATTACCTGCTCAACGTCCCAAGAGTGATCAACTAATGTTCCTCCCTCTTCCCCCTGACGTCTACTTTCTTCCTCCTTCAACTTCCGCCATTCCCAAAAGTCATAAAATCTTCGCTTCTTCGGCATTACAAGAACTTCTCGCCCAAGAACAATCACAGGGGACGCCTGAATAAGATTCATACCAATATTATCAAAACAATTAAAAACAGTTCTGCGATTGTGGCTTCAAGAGATGAAATTGAAACCCTAGAGCTATTAAGACCAAGTGTTAGACAGGGGTCCAGGTACCTCTATTGCCTTCCGGGCAGCATTTGCTTCCTCAAACTCCATAAAACCAATTTTATAGCCCTACCGATTTGATACAAGTACGATCAGTGTTTGTTTACCCTATGAAAAAGGGTTCAAAAAATCCCTTATTAGTAGATTAGTCGACATGTACCAATCTGTTAAAAACAACTTGAATTCCATTTCCTCTAATTGCTCCAAACTCCTTAAATGCATTTTGAACCGATTCAATGGTAGCATGTGGAGGAAGAACTTTAACGCAAACTCCCGTACCCTCAGTTACCGCTGATAAATAAATAAACACAAAAGGTTAAAAGGAGAGCAAGATTGTCTTTATCAAAACTATTTTACGAATTTCCTACCTTGATCCTCGTGATTGTTTCCATTTTCAGTTTTATCATCAGCTTTTATCTCTGGAGAAGGATCACAAGACGGATGTTGATCTTGACATTTTTGTATCGCCTTCACCACCATCACGTATCATTAACATTATTAAGTATCAGTTCCAAGTCCAGAAATTACTTATTTAGATCTTTCAGTGTCCACTTACAGCAGAGGCATCAGATATCTTAGACAAATCTTCGAGTCCATCTTTTTGTTCAAAAGCTCTCAGTAAACAATCTGCAACTTCTTTGCGAGCGACCTCCTTTTCTGAAACTCTCTCCTCTACGACTGAATCAATCCCCATTAAACCAAGGTCTTAGACACTTCCTCGGGAGCAAAATATGCAGGCTGCTTTTATAATTGAACTGATTGCTTTATTAACACACCATTATTACTAGCAGAAACAATCGTCTGGTCATCAAATTGGAGAATGTCAATCAAAACAACGTAGCCCTCGGCTTCTTGGGGAGCAAGAAAGAAAACTTGGATGAAGTTCTTCATCATTTCAAGTGTCTCTTTTTGAGTGGAGTAGCCACAGACAACAACCAAGACAACACCATCTTGACAGTCTCGGGAAATGATACTGGTTACCTCCACCGAACCAAAACCTCCACTAAGATTCTCATCGTCTATATTCTGCTTTATTAACAGGAATTCAATCAGCATAAAAAAGAGTTTTCACCAAGTAGGATTTGAGTCAATCAAGGAAAAAAGGTATGATTTTTACCGATAAGGTGTTTAAACGCATCATTCCATCGTTTCTAGTCCGTCCAATCTTACTGGAATCTTGATAAACCCCACGGAGTTGCTGCGGATAATCTTTCAAGACGGTATAGTAATCTTTTGCAAATTCATTCCCCACCTACGTTTTTTGTTTCGTAAATGACTAACAGGAAAAATGAAGAAAACCCAATTGGAACATACAGTTGTTGGATTATATACCTCTTTAGCAGGTGGTCGTGGAGGAGGATCCATCGGTTCAGAGATTAAGCAATTTCCCTACCCATTTAACCTAAAGATCAGATTCCAAACGCGAAATTCATGAATCTGAAGAACAATAATCTAGTCGCACACAAAAAGAATCCTACCCATTTCGTGAGAAGCAGCTACTTATTGAGAAAATCCCCTTAACGCGAGAACGCGAAATTCATGAATCTGACGAACATAATCTAGTCCCATACAAAAGAATCCTATCCATTTCGCGAAACAATACAGTCACTACGAAATTCAACAATACTTGCTGAGAAAATCGAGAAAGAATACAAAGATTTCATTCGCATTTCCGTCAATAGATCATTCGCGAAAGAAGCACATTGAAACACTACTGATACTAATTCCCGACTATTTAAACGAAATTGTGAAAAAGACGACGCACCTGAAACTCTAGCGAGAGGTAAGTTTCTTTGGGTAGTGATTACCAGACCCACTCCAACGGCGATTCCGAGCGAGAGACGAAGACGAAGAAGAAGCAGCGAAATAAGAGACTGACAAACTTTTGTTCTTTTCAATTGGCGCTCGCGTTTTACACGTAGACTCGTATTTATACAATACAATTACATAAGGATGCATATATTTACATTTGTAGTCATTGCGTTCTCTTATAATTGGTTATCTCGTATTGTGCTTAACCGAATTGGTTGGTTATTGGTTTAGTGTTTGGTTAGAAATCGAGGAAGAGATGTTCTGGATCGCTAGTCGAACGAAAAAAAAAACATAAAAAACTTTCAATTATTCAATATTTTATTATGAATAAAAACATATATATATATATATATCATCATCTATATATTATATATTATATAAAGAGTATATGAATGAATAAGCACAAGGGAGAGACACAAGAAAGATGAAGTGATTCTACTTCTTAGACTATCTACAATGGTGAAAAGATTCAATACCTTCTTTTTTTCTTTTAAACACTCCACATCATCTTCTCTTTCTTCCACCTAATAATTTAACATTCATTCAAATTTTATATTCTAAAATAATTTTGTTTAATAAAATTCAACACTTTACCCCACTACTTTTTTTTTAAATATTTTAATATTTTGTTTTTAATTAATAATAAATAATAAATATCAATAAATTAAATTAAAATATTTACAAGAGTTTATTGGAGGTTAATAGAAAAAATATAGTAAAAAGATGAGTTTTTTTTCTGGTATCCAAATCAAATGAACCTAGTTTCTATTTATAGAGTATGAAAAATGATGAATTTTGGTATAAATGTTTTTTAAAAATAAAATAATTTATGACCAAATAATTGATATCAAATAATCTGGATAAGAAAAAAATGTGGAAAGTCTTAATAACCAATAACATCACAGCAAATGTCATTATCATGATTTTATTCTATACTAGTTTTTTTAACCAACTATTATATACCACATGTCCGCAATTTTTTTCTTTTCTGCGCAAATCTTTAATTTTTTTCTTACTTTTTGGCTGAGTCAGCAAAATTCAACTAGTTGAATGGTTTCAACAAAATTGAACCCACGTCATTCTCAACAATTATTTCAACTCCCCATTGCATTAATTAAACAGTTGAATAATTTTATTCAACTACCCATTGGAGATAGTCTTATTGGCTTATTGCTATGTCTCCTCTACTTTACACTCTATTTATAGGAGAGAGCCGGCCTTGGGCTAAAGCTGATAAAGTCCTTGCTTCAGGACGCCAGAAAATATATACAAATTAAAGGCAGCAAATTCGAAGCGCAGGTTTGATTCTTGAAACTGTAAGTTGTGGTTTTTTTTTAAATTATGGGCTAAAAAAATTTGTTGGGCTTTAGGCAGCAAAATCTCACGGGCCAGCCCTGGTTATAAACATAAAATATTACTCTGAGTAGGTAAGAATTATGGTGTAAAAAGATAAGAGTAAGCAGGTAAAATTTATGGCGGAGAATAATGAATAATCATCCATTTTACAACACTTCCTCTTGATTATCCAGCATTATTAATATATCATGTACTGCTTCATTAAAAGTTTTATTATGAAAAAATCCGTTTATGACAAAAACCATAACAAAGGAAAAAAGAGTGCAGTAGGGCTCTCCCTAGAAAAGATATATAATCTTCTTTTTCTTGAAACGCTTAGATGACGGAGTCTTTCTTTTTGCTAGATAAGTCTGGACTTCTACGTCATTTGGATGTCAATCATTTGCATATTATTTGATGTCTCGTTAAAAACCTCATTATGGAAAAACTCAGTGGGACAAAAATCATGGTAAGGAAAAAAGAGTACATCTATGCATATTACCATACTTCTTCTCTCGGAAGTATTCTTTTTTAGAGATCTATATTTTGCGTGTTCCTTACTGCCTCGTTGAAAATATTTTCATGGAAAAACTCATTGAGACAAAAACCATGATAAGGGAAAAAGAGTGCAGCCACGCTCGTCTTCTAGACGAATCTCTTTATATGGTTCTTATGGAACCCATTATTATATATATATCTTTTGGACATATATCTTTATTTGGTTCTTCAGGAACCTTTTCACAAATGTCTTCAAGACAATTTTATTCGCTTCTTCTGGAACCTTTTCACAAATGTCTTTAGGACATTTTCTCTATATATTTCTTTTGGAACCTTTTCACTTAAGAGGAGATTTTTATCTTACAAGCTCATCGGCCTTCCGTGCTTTAATTGAACCGCAGTTCATTTTCTCTATTCTCATCAATAATTTGTTCCGAAACATTTCTTTTGATGGAGCATTAGCACCGGGGATATATGATTTCGTCACCCATCTTATATCTTTGAATGCATAAAGTAACTGGTATACCAAATTTTGCAAATGTACACTTTTATGAACTCCACCTCACGTTTATTGGTAGGAGGATCGAAATAAGCCAAAGTTTATATGCCCTTTTGTGCTATCTTTTGGTGATTCTCTAGATCTTCCCCCTCAACGCAGGAAATTCATTTTCATCAAAGTGGCAATCGGCAAAGCGTGTTGTAAACATATCTCCAGTTACCGGTTCAAGATCACCTCTGGAATAATTTTTTTTATTATTATACTACTCGAGATAACTCTTCAGGAGTTTTGATGATCATCATTCTTTATTTCAATCGAGTAGTGTTCTCGGGAACATAATTCTAATATAATCTTTTAAGGATTAATTCCTCTAGAGGGGAAATCTTTGGTTCCACTTTTTTTTTTTTTGTAATGACATGGTAAATCGAGATCTCTTATCATCGATTTCATTCAGGTACCTGATTTGATTTCAAACCATGTCAATAATCTCTTCAGGAGATTAATCCTTTTTTGCTCCTTTTCTTTTGAGGATTTGGAACCAAAGTAGTTTATCATGTTTTTTACGTGTCATAGACTCAAATAGACCATCCTTCATGGACATCTATTTTTTAGTGGAGCTCAACTGGGATATGAGATTTTATTTTTTCACTCAATATGAACTTCAGATTCATATGAGGATCCATCAGCTGTTTTCTGTATGCCATACTGGATATTTTATGTCACCACATGGAGATCACCGTAATTGGTTTTGCAATCCCTTGGATTTGCTTTATTTTAAGCTCATTTTGAGTGCGAACATAATCTTCTGGATGTTCAGCTTATACTCGATGTGGGATTCTTTAATTATCCCCCTCGAGATGATGACACTTTTAAGGTCTATCCATCTCAAATTGAATCCCACTGTAGGACCAACTACATATCCAATAAGTTTTAACCAAAAAAAATGGTGATCCATCCATGGATGGTTTTCACGATGGCTTCATTTTTTTTCTTTGTGACATGGAATAGTTGAAAAATCTTATGATTTTTCAACATGTATTCTCAATGATCTTATATCATTGGAACTACTGGGATGACTTAACCGGTTTATTCAATAAGTAAACTTCAGGTTTACTTTTGTATATACTGCCATCTTTTATTATTATTATTATTATTATCACATATATGCATGTCACGATCGTGTGTTCTTGTGGAGCATTTTTCTCTTCCAGAGCTTCTAGCTTTTCCGGAAATTTCAAAAATTTTAGCTCTTACGAGGCTTTTAGCTCTTCCGGAGTTTCTAGCTTATACGGGGGTTATAGCTATTCCAGATATTTTAGCTCTTACGGGGATTTTAGCTCTTCCGGAGCTTCTAGCTCTTACGGAAGTTTTGATTTTTAAAAACATGGTTTGATGTCTTTAACCCATATTATAATTGATAAAATATATGAGATAGTTAAACATGATGATTCATAATAATAACGTACCTGGTACAGCTTCCATAAGTTTTAATGATGCTGAGCCTACCTTAAAAATAAGGAAGAGGTATAACCTTCAACTCCATCATTTTGTGTTCATGAAGAAGGCTTAACCTTCCACTCTATAAAATTTGATTAAGGAGGAGGATTAAACCATCAACTCCATAATTTTATGATCACGAAAGATGTTTAATCTTCTATTCCATAAATATACTATCAAGGAGAAGGCATAACCTTTTACTCCATAATATTAGTAAGGAGGAGATTTAATCTTCCACTCCACAAAGATAGATACGAAGGAGGATTAAACTTCCACTCTATTAATTTCTGATCATGGAGGAGATTTAACCTTCTATTCCATAAAAATATGATCAAGGAGGAGGTTTAAACCATCAACTCTGTAATTTTTTTTATCATGGAGAAGGTTTAACCTTCCACTCCATCATTTTGTAGCCATGGAGGAGACTTAACCTTCAACTTCATATATATTTTAAATATATACATAAATCAAACAAGGAGGAGGTACAACCTACAATTCCATAAATAAATTTAAATATATAAACATAAATCAAACGAGGAGAAGACATAACATACCACTTCATAAATATAAACAAGGAGGAGGTTTAACTTTAACCTCCATAATTATGATCTGAGGATACATAGTCTACCATATGATCATATAATCGTGAAGGCATAGTCTATCATAACGATCGGTTCGGGAAAGACAGAGCCAATCATCCCGGAATAATACGTAAACTTGAAAATAAATTGAACATAAATTTAAATCATCGGTTTGGGAAAGTCAGAGCCTATCTTTCCAAAATAATACATAAACGGAGAAGGCATAGCCTATCTTTTCGTAAATATATAAACTTTAGATCGACTAAACATAAATGAAATCTTACCTCCAAATATATGACGGAAAGAGTCGATCGTGGTGATAACGTGTTATGAATAAAAGCATATATTTATATGTATATACATCACCATCCATATATTATGTGTTATATAAAGAGTATATGAATGAATAAGCACAAGGGAGAGACACGAGAGAGTGATGAAGTGATTCTGCTTCTTATTGCTATGTCTCCTCTACTTTACAAGACATACATCTCTCTATTTATAGGAGAGTAATAAACATAAAATATTACTCTGAGTAGGTTAGAGTTATGGTGTAGAAAGATAAAAGTAAGAAGGAAAAATTTATGGTGGGGAATAATGGATAATCATCCATTTTA